CAAGATCAGCTTGGAATAACTTTAATCACAATAAATGTTTTTTGCCATTTACACGCCTGTAAACTGATCGGAAATAAAGATCGCAAGACTCAAAATACGTGCTTTCACTGTAATTTACTATATGGAGAACACTCATTTTATCTGCAAAATAGACTGTAACGAATTGTGCAACAAATGCCATGACAGACTATAAAAAATTTATTTTTTTATATAATATTCTTAATCGCAAAAAAGCCAAATCGAGCAATTTTGCTCAGAACTAACTGATGCGCCACGTTTTGGCCACCCCTGATTTATATATAGATGTGTTACTAAAGTCCTAATGTTACAGATTAATTAGCAATGATCTAGAGATTTAACACAATTAAATTCTTCATAAAGATTTCCTGCAGAGCATAAGTTCGACATCATTTTATGAATTATGTGTATAAAAGTTGCTTATCTACAGTACGGTGGGTATTATTTACGTGTTTTAGCATACATTTTGTTTCTTTTTTCAAAATTCCGCTCACTTGAATGCACGAGGAGAATATCGAATAGACGGCACTTGTCACCTGTAAATAAACATATTTTATGTATATACTAATGATATGTGTTCACATATACAAGAAATATATTTCAGAACATACCCTTATCAAGAAATCTCGTTTAATGTAGAAGAATCCTCCAATGGATATTCCGGGAGGAATCTTTCCAAACCTCTTCATAAAATCGTTTATCTTTGAGGAAAATAATTTAAAAGATTAATTATAATTAATATTATTAAAATATTAATAATTATATAAATATAATTAATATAATTTCTTTCATTTTGTCAATAAAACTTTTCCAAATGATCAATTACCTTTTCTACATGTGTTAAAATTCTCCTATAGAGTTAATTGTTTGAGATTGAAAAAGGTAAACTAAGTGCACGAGATTTCTCAGTTGTGGCTTATGATGAACTTATTTACTTACCTTACATTTAAATGTCAATGGAAGGTTTGCAGAAGAAACCTTTTCAATACTTATGAAATTATCGTACATGAATATGATTATGATTTTAATATGATTTTAATATAAACGAGAATATGATTTTAATATAAACGTTACAATTAGATATTAAATCAATTTACAACAAAAGAAAATCTAAAATGTTGCTATTTAATCTCTTTTTTCTAGAACAAATAAAAACAAAGAAAATCTACAAAACGCATTTACACATTAGACAAACAATTGCCAAAATTTTCAAATATCGAGTTTATAATTTCATTAATATAAAGATTTTTATGCATTTTTATTAAGCTTCAAATAGGATGAACAAAATCGTGCCACACATAACACTACATCCATACATACAGAAAAAAACTCGAACTTTTTTGCTATTCTCGACATTTTAAGGTACTTTTTGAGTCCAAATAAATGGTTTTCAAATATTTTAATTATGTCAATACACAGGTGTTTATTGGATATGCAGAACTGCTAACATGTTGCATGTCTCTTGAAATTAGTCTTTAATGGAAATTGCCTATAGAACTTATGCGCTGAGCCTGGCTACCCATAATAATAGACAAGGTAACCATTAGTCTCAAAGTCCACTGCATACGCTGAACACAAGGCTAGCAAAGGCACTTTTCATGCAGTGCCGAATGAAGAAAATTTATGATACCGTTAAACATTTATGCTTCATATATTTCTGTATTCTTAATTATGTACTGTTTTTCCACGTGTCAAATTCTACATTCTCGTTTCCATTTCTAAGTAGAAACAGAATGAGAAAATGTGATGTACTAAAACGAGTTAACAGAGTAAATAACTGTTTGAACAGCAGAACACTTCTTCGAAAAAGTGCTAACAGAGTGACATCATACAAGACTACATTTTCCAGCCTCTTTACTAAACAGCCACTGGAAGATATGAGCCACATGCATAGTTATAACTTTAACTTTTACTTTTTTTAGCTGCTATATATAATAGAGGGGATGCACGGCGATCGGTCAAAAGATGACCCCCAATGTTCTTGCATTTTATTATTCAGCGCACCTTGAAACGTCGAGAAATGCAAAAAATTCGGAGGTAATTTGTGTAGTTTTTGTATGTATGGATGTTCGTGTGTATGTGTGGGGGGCACCATTTTCTGAGAACCCAAGCTAGTGTAAATTTGATCTTAATTTTTTGGTCAAAAATATATATAAAAAGGGGAGAAGTATTTCATTTCACAAATGCAAATTTCTGAAATTTTGCAGGGAGGTTTGCTTATTAGGGCGATTGATGTTGTGTAATTTTGGTGGTTAAAGGTCGAGGGGTAAGGAGATAGCGGGAGTTTTGTGTATGTCCAGTAGGGTCGGATAAATGACGATTTTACTCGTTATTAGCATTTACAATTTTTTATAAAACCCATTCAAGCCTTAAAATTAAGTATTTTGCCATTTTATAGTAATTAAATTATAAGAAATTTTTAATAAAGTATTATCGCATCATCATGTTAAGTAGCAAAATAAAATTATAGCCTGTCCATATATATGTTACAGTCAAAACCCGTTTTTAGTTAGAACGCGTTTTAACTAGTTGAAACTAGTTTATGCTAACTGTCTTTGTTAAAACCCGTTTTGTCTAGTTAAAACTAGTTTTAACTCAAATTCATTTTTAACTAGCAGTAAATTCTAGTTTTGACTAGACAAAACGAGTTTTGTCTAGTCAAAACTAGACAAACTAGACAAAACGAGTTTTGTCTAGTTAATGTGCTGCTGTACATGTTTTGATTTTAGATAAAACTAGTTTCAACTTTTAACATTAATTAAAACTAATTTTAGCTACATAAATATTTTTGGGAAATAAATAAAGTTATGTATAGTGATTCAACAGAACATGCCTAACATTTTGCTTATGAAGGTAATTACAGCGCTAATTTGGGTTTAGGAGCCCTCTAATGAAAATATCATATTCTGGAGTATGTTTTTTCAAATAAAACTTTGGAATTTATTAAAAAGAAATTGTATGCTGTGTTTGCAATGACGACTTTTTTACTGTCTGGCATTTTAGGCATCTCACCCCAAGTACCCGGGATAGATGCCAAATGTCATTAGGGTAAGATAACAAATTTAATTGCATAAAATTAATTTTTGAATTTCTTAACTAAATTTCATTTATTGCATATGTAATACGAAGTACTTCATAGAAAGTATAACAGCACAGTATAAGTATTGTTAAGTTTACGCCCGTTCTAACGTGTTGTATATCCAGCTGAAAGCTTTTTTCAGTCCAAAAACCTTTTTGAAAAGTCCTTATATAATCTATATGCATATCCTGCAATAAAACGAGAAAACAAAAGTTTATTAAAAATAGGCATATTGGAAATCAATTAACAAAAAATAGGCACGTTACCCCAAGAAAAATGTGGCATATTTTCCATTTGTTGGGGTAAGATGCCTAGTAGAGTCACATGCTCCAGCATGTC